TAACAGTCTTAAGGAGCATACAGAAAAAACATTACAAGCCAGGCGTAGTTTTACTACATTAAACACAGCACCAATTAAAAATATTTTTCTTTCAATTTGTCTACTACATTTTGTTTTTCCTCTCTTGTCTGTGTAGAACTTCCTCCCAACATTTTGCAATGGCAATGTGCAAACACATAGTACAGTTGAAATAATTTGATAAATACCTCTGTAACTATCATCTATTCCACCATTAGTATTTTACTACTATTATTTTGTCACCAAGTTTGAAAAAGGATTTATTGATTTATTTGAAAATCAGAGTGGCATAGAGAGAGGGAGAAGATAGAGAGTTCTTCCATCTGCTGGTTGACTCCCAGAATGGCTACAACAGTTTAGGACTGGTCCAGGATGTGTGCAGCAGAGGCCCAAATACTTGGACCATCATCCAGTGCTTTTCTAGTGACTTAGCAGGAAGCTGGGTCAGAAGCAGCACAACCAGAACTAGAACCAGCACTTCTGACGTTACAAGCAGTGGCTTACTCTGCTCCACTACAACTCTGTTCCCACATTCTTTTCTATTTATTTATTCTTTTTTTAGTAATAAATTCATTTTATTTTTTATGGTGTCCACGCAATTGAGAGGGAAACATGACCATGCAGTCCAATGATCAAGATGGGGAGAATCGAGGAATGGGGCAATGTAGATAATCTCTTTTATTTCTGAATTTGGGGAAAGTTGGGGGAGATGTGTACTCCCAGCAGCCCAACGGCATCAGTACCTGGGGATGGGGGATGGTCACCCGTCCTCATCCCAGGGTGATTGACTTGGAGTATGCTCTGAGGGCACTGCCAAGACGCTAATGACCCCATCACTCCAAGTGTAAGGAAATTCCTCCAAGGCCCACCGGCTGACTCAGTCCACCCTAGAGTCTCGACTTCTCCAGACACTCATTGCCAAAGTCTGACCAGGAGAGCTGTCCAACTCACTGTACCCTCCATGGTACCAGATGTCCACTGCAGTCCCTAGTGAACCGGTTGTCACATCCCGCATGAGCATCTGGGTATGCCATCTACTGCAGACCTCAACAACTGAGAAGGCCTTGCCTGCCTGCTCAGGGCCCACCCACACTCCATGCAGGTCACCAGACCCTGTCTGCTGGCATGCCAGTGTCTGCTCCCCACAAATCTTAAAAAAAAAAGATTGGTGGCTATGCTGCCACACTGGTGTAGTTAACACAAATTTGGCATGAACAAGGCTCGGGATTCCCTCCAGTTATTAGCTGTTTTTCTCCTAGCAGTGTAACACTTGCCCGGAGGTACAATGGAACCTAGGCAGTTGCCTACAGCTGGGATATTTATTTATTCTTTAGATTTGTGTAAAACCAAGTGGTTATAATAACACAGAATGTATGTATTACTTTAACAAAAACAGATTCCTTCAAATCATTACAGATCACTTATAAACGCTACTTAAAGTGATCTCAAAATATTTTATAATCTATTTCATCTTTTATAGTTTATCATGTCAGCAGTAATTAGTCTCTATTTTAGTATTTATTTTTATCCTTAGGTATATCTTCATGATAACTCAGGGTATCTGAGTGGTTGCTTCAGGGTGTCCTGGCCAGCTCTGGCATTTAGAAAAATCAAAAAGGTTTTAACCAGCTTGGAAGCTTTGGAAGAGTCCATGCAGCCAGACAAGATGCCTGTTTCTAGCTGTGGCCAAGGTCTGCCTTCGCTCCTTGGCCAAGTGTCCGCTTCTTGATTGAGTCATGGGTGAGGTTTGGAGTGCCCGAGGAAGAGATGGTGCTGATGAAGATCGTTAGGTCATTTCCTCACTTTCCTTCTTTTTGTATGCTTATTTAATAGAAACTCACACTTACAGAAAACTTGTAAATGTAGTACAAAACCTTTTTTTCTCTTGACCCATTTGACAGTAAGTAACTTTAATGATGTCCCACCATTATTTTAAGTATTTTCATGTGAATTTCCTACCAGCAGAGGTATTCTCTATGAAGCTATACTGTAGCTGCCCGAGTCATGGTGTCACCATTGACATGTTACTGTCATCCATTATTTGCTTCATGTTTGTGCTGCCCAAATACAACATAAAGCAAATATTGACTTTAATAGCCATTATTGCAGAAGAAGGTGTTCAACAAACACATGGCAAAGATGTGCCATTTGTACCCACCTGGCACAGTTGCCCATGCTTTCCTTGATGCTTTTAGAGAGTACAGGGCAGTTGTTTTGTAGGATTGTCCTCAATTCTTGTTTGTCTAACTTCTACCCCGATGATGACACCCAGGTTACAAGTCTTTGGTAAGAATATCATGAATGTGATGCTGTTTGCTTTTCATTGCATCTTATCAGGAGGCCAAGGTGTTTGCTTTTTAAAAATTCTTTTATTTAAAATAAATTTTAAAAATACAAAAAATTCTTTTATTTAAAAATATTTTCCATGGTACAGTTTTTTTTTTCTGTTGCTAATGTTCACCTTGATAACTTAAGGTGATATTTCCTGGGCCTCTGTACTATAAAGTTATTTTCTTTATAATTAACGAGCATTTGGTAGGGAGCTAACTTGAGGCTCTGTAGCTGCTCTCTCTTGCTCCTCTCCTTTCCTTCTTCTCTTCATTAGTTGTGAATGTTTCCTTATGGACTCCTGGGTTCCTGCTTAATGGGATGGGATCACGAAGGTGTCATTTCTTGCCGTTACACTCCAGAGTCTCTCCAATTGGAGAGTTCTTACTTGGTGTCTTTTCACATGTTCCCATCAGAGTGTTTGGCACTTTGCTACTTTCTGCCACAAAATGTTCTCTGTTTGTATCGTGTCAACCCTGGAATCAACCATTCCTCTGGGGAATATGACTTTGTAATGGAGGATTATGCATTCTAATGTAAGTGGAAATTGTGGTGCGGTGGGCTGAGCTGTGCATGGGATGCCCATATGCCATACTGGAGTAGTGGTGTGAGTCTAGCTCCTGCACTTTCAGCTTTCTGTTAACACACTTGAGAAGCAGAAGGTGATGGCTCCAGTGTCCAGGCCCCTGGCCCTGTGTGGGGGATCCAGATTGAGTTTCAGGCTTCTGAGCTTGGAGGATTTTGTAGGCATTCAGGAAATGAACCAGCAGAAGGGCATATTCTCTCTCTCTCTCTCTCCCTTTCCTTTCTTTCTTTCTTTCTTTCAGTGTTGCTCTGCCTTTCAAAAGATGAAAATAAAGAAATAAATGAAGCTATGACCCACAATCAAGGTTTGGGCACTTTGTTCACTTTTCTCATGTCTGAGGGGTATGTATATCCCTTTCCATATATTTTTAATCTTTTGCCTACTTATTTTTAGATTATTTTTATCTTATTTATGTGAGGGGCAGAGTGCCACAGAGAAGGGGAGAGATAGAGATCTTCTATCCTCAGGTCTGTCTCCCCATTCCAAATGACAGCAATGACTAGGGATGGGGCAGGCTGAAGCCAGAAACCTGGAACTCTATCTGGAGTTCTTTCTCATTTTGTCTCTTTTCCTGTTGGTCATTCTCTGAAGGTGACAGACCTGATTCCTGTTATTCTTAGTACAGCCATATCTATGCATGGAGTTACTCCCCATGTGAGTACCCTGTGTCTCATCATTGTGGCTGCTGTGTTCCCTCTGTACCTCCATCTTCTTAGACTGTGTGTATTCTTTTACCTCATGCTAAACTTAGACCATCCAGCCATGTGAATGCCCTCCTCACCTTACCAGGGCTTTTAACATTGTCCCAGGTCACCCCACTGCCATTCGGATCTTGGTGACCTTCTGTGGTCCACAGTTGTTCCTGTCTTCCTGGTGTTACTCCTGAATTGTTTAGAAGAGCAATAGCTCTTACCTGCTTGGAGGTGCTCCTGTGGACTTGGAAGACCAGACCTTGTGCCTCATTCAGAGTCCCTGTAATTGCTTCAGCCCTGAGCCTAGGGGAGGCCTCGAGGATGTGGAAAGGACAGACTGGGACTTTTCTGGTGGGATTTGAGGTTTTGCTTTTATTTGAAGGTTCTGCACCCAAGTCCCAAATCATAGCTGTGCTATCTCCTCCCTTCTGTGCTTGTTGGTGCTTTTAGGGAATGAACTGGGCTTCATGAGCTTCCAGCCAGCTGGGGCAAATCCCATGGGAATGTACTCTTGTGAAGATCCTGGTTCCTAGACATGGACTAGGGGGCCAGGGAATGTACTAGAAAACACAGTAAGGGCATCGCCTACATGTTCTGCCCTGGGCTGAGACACACTCAAATAAGGTACCTTGATTCCACGTTTGGTCAGATGTCTTCTTCCAAGTTAGTGGACTGATGGAGCTTTGGCTAATTTCCCTTGGGGAAGAGGGCTATATTTTATCACAGATGAGAATAGGAACTAATGGAGAGAGACAGAGAGAGAGAGAGAGCTCCTTCCTGGAGGTGTGGAGTGGCATGCTCCAAGTTTGTTTGTTGATGAGATCAGCTGCAGAGTTTTCTTTCAGGGGATTTTGTCTCATCTACAGGAATGCTGGAAAGTCATAATTGATGGGCTCCAAGGTCGGGGACAGGGTAGGGATGATGGTTGTAAATTGTTGAAAAGTATCTTTTCTTCCTTGATAAAATGAGAGACGATATCTTTCACAGTGATAGGGAGAGAGAGAAGCAGGCATTCTATCTGCTAGTCCACTCACCAAATGGCTGCAATGGCCATGAATTTCTGGGTCTCCTACACGGGTGATGGGGGCACAAGTACTGGGCCATCCTCCACTGTTTTCCCATGTGTATTAGTAGGCGATTGTTAGTAAGCAGAGCAGCTGAGACTTGAACCAGTACGTTGGATGTCAGAGTCATAGGCTATGGCTTACTATGCTATGCCAAAATCAATACTTGAGTACTTTTATTGTTTTAATTTACACTGGAAAAATGTGATACAAATACATGTTACTTTTGCAAAGTAATTTTTTGGTGCCATTTTTCTTTAGTTCTGTGATGTCATCTCCTTGATCATTAATTTTTAAAAATTATTTTGACAGCTACCACCATGTTTGAGGCTGGAAAGGACAAACAAAACCCAGACGAGTTTGCTGTGGCACTTGATGAGACTCTTGGAGACTTTGCGTTCCCAGATGAATTTGTCTTTGATGTTTGGGGAGCCATTGGCAAATTCAAGCAAGGGTGAGGCGCCTGTGGATGATCCATCGCCGAAGAAACACACCATTGTTTTTCTTAAAAACAGCTCTATGGAACTATCCTTTGGAGAATTCTGTGAACTTGGCTTAGTTTTACATATAAGAAATACAGTCTTTGAAATATCATTTTGATTTCTGAGTACTTTTTAATGCAATTACTGAAGATAAATGAGCTAAATTGTAAATTTCAGTATGAGTTTAAAAGTTTTTAATGCAAGTTTTAAGGAGCATTTCTAGACAGATGATTTTTGTTTTCTGTGAACACTAGTGCTTTATTTTTCACATGTACATAATTGATGGCAATTGATTTTTAATTTTTTAGGTAATGAAAATTATGGTTGCAGTGTACCATATTCATTTTGTTATACCAGCTTAAACAGGATATGTTAGAAAATTAGAAAATTTTATGCCCACCACGGGTCTAAAAGCACTGTTTTTTATTTGTTTATTTGTTTTGTTTATTGTGTAGATTTTGGCTGTTGATTTCTGTAGCCCAGTCTCTCTCGTTGGCAATGATTGGTTGATTTTTTTTCTTCCTTTTTTGTGGATGCTCCTAAAACTTGTATTTGACAGTTACTGTGCTGTGTGTTTGCCTGTGTGTAAGAAGAATGAAAAAGTCAGATAAATCGTAATCACTTGCATCCCATTTCTTTAAAGTTCTTAATACACACACATACACACATATTTATACATATTTGCTACTTTATGCTACTTGTTATGAGCACTCCAGGGAAGGTCGTATCTATATGTAATATATATATATATATACACATTATATATGTATTTTTTGGTGGAATTTTTCTTTTGAAAGCTATTTACTCAGAAAATAACTAGGTTTGAGAACATTGGTTTTGGGATTAAGCAGCAATTTCCTGTAGTCACTTAAACTTTAGAGGGGAAACTATCAGAAACAGATTTGGTCCCCTTTCTCCAACCAGTTGAAATAAAAGAGGAAGGGAGAACCAAGAAAAAAATCAATGTATTATTTTAGAGTTCTAACACCCACTTTCTGTAAACCTTACATTATTGAGAAAATTGAGGGTAAATGCCAGTTTATCATTCTTATTTGACATTTTCTAAATCTAAAAGAAATGGAAATGAATGGCTTTCTCATAGGTCATTCAATAAAGGCAGAGATGGTATGACCCAGCTTCTAAAATATTGGATGAAAAATGCTATGTGTTGCCAAGGGAATCAGATAACTACCCGTGAGGGAGATGTGCTGGAAACCAGAAGTGGCCACCTTTCATGCTGGGTTATCGCTTAGAGAGCTGTTGATTTCTGGTAAAGCTTCACTTTTCCTGTCAGCCACTCCCTTTTTGTAGGAGCTTAATGCTCTGAAGCTGGTATTCTTTGTTCAGTCTATCTGAAAAATCTGAAATGTGCAAGAAGGAGTTCTAGTCATTAATATGTAACAAAAGCAACATATGGGATAGAAATTATCGTAATACTCTTGTCCCTCTTGAAAATAGGATCTATAGCAGGCTATAATTTGTTCATCTTATCTAGTGGATATCTTTCAGATCTTTCCCAAATTCCTATTCTTTCTTTCTTTTAAAAAAAAGGAAAGCAGAAATTTTCTGTCTGCTGGTTTACTCTCCAAAGGCAACTAACAGCCAGGCGCTAAGAAATCCATGCGAGTCTGCAATACGGGTGGCAGGGATTCAGGTGCTCAAGCCATCACTTACTGCCTTCCAGAATGCAGGAAGGTGAATCGGAAGTGGAGTCACTGGCACTGGCACTCAGATAAGAAATGCAAACATTCCAAGTGGTGGCTTAATTTGCTGTGCCACAAAGGCTGCCCCTCATATTTATTCTTGCTTCCATCTCTTTTAGAAAGACACAAACTGAGTTGAAGTGGGAGTTTTTAAAGATACTTCCACCTTGCATTGGAGTGCCTACATTTGATTCCTGGTTAGGACTCTTGTCTCCAGCTTCTACCAAGGTAGCCTTTGGGAGGCACTGGCAATGGCTGCGGTAACTGGGTTTCTGCCACTTACGTGGAAGACCTGGCTTGTGTCTGTGGCTTCAGCCCGGCGAAGCCTCAGCCCCAGACCCAACTTTGTAGTTATTTGGGAAGGGAGTCAATGAACGGGAGCTCTCTCTGTCTCTGTCTCTGCCTTTCTTTATTGCAAATAAATACATAAGCCAATCAACCAGTCAATCAGTAACCAGATTGTGACTGATAGGTAGAGATATTTAACTTGATTTTTCAAGATGAGATATAGTTTACAATATAGTGCTTTGCAACTTTTTCAAGTGGAACATTCCTAGGTAAAGGGCATTTCGTGAATTCCATGTTACTGGTGCATTTTCATCACATCCAGGCACTCGCTGGTCTTTTTTAGTTATCATTGCCTATCTAACATGGTAGCAAAATTATAATTTCTTCTGTGAAATTGAGTTTTCAACATCATAGCTCTCCTAAATAGAGCTTAGTTATCTGCCAGAGATGTAGGAGGTCATATGACAGCCCTTACACTCTCTGATGCATCTAAAAGTAGATGGCTGCAAGAACCATCCCATTACTCTGGTGGAGGTGCTAGGTTTGAAGGATGGCTAAGTGTTTTACTGACGTGATTAGTGAGTAAAGGGATAGGGGGATGCCATGCAACTCACACTCCCAAGTACTGATGCCCTAGGTAAAGTGCATAGTCATTATTTTCTTGGCACAGATTGAGGAAAATGTCAGAATAACTGCAATCCTAACACATATCGTAGTTACAAAATGCTTTTAAAATTGTGAAGTACAAAATGACTCAGCCTGTCCGAACACTAATACTTGAAATCCTAGTTCTAAGAATTGTTTCATGGTTATTATCTCTGAGAAGGGGGGAAGCTGAATATGGCATCTGTATTTCAACTGGAGCCAGAAAATCCCCATAAGACTGAAGCATAACCTTTGATATTTTTCAAGCAATACTACACATTGTTTTGAGTCAACATTTAATATTTTGAAATGTGCCATGTGATAGTGTTGACAGTGTCCAGATAAAATATTCAACTATTTTGGAAATTTTTTTTTATATAAATCATGCATATACTTGAAAATGTTTTTTGAGATTGAATTTTGGGGAACTCTTTTTTTCCCCCAATCCACTTTGGGGAACTCGTAATCTGTGTGTGAGGTTGTAAGTTATGCTTTGTCTTAAATGTATTGTTTATTATAGTTGCACTTATATGTACAATTTGGTTATGTATTGATCAAAAAGTGAATTGTTTGTAAAGCTGTAAATTTGCATTTACATTTCTTAATTTTACTCAAAAATAAAAAGATGCACAGATATGTACTGTGTAATTCCCTTAAGATACAGTCATCTTCTTTTTCTGTTATAAAAATCTACCTACTATGACACTGTCTTTTCTACCCTTCATAGAAATTTTATGGCAATAATTTCCAAACAAAGTATGGGTAAATCATAATAAATATAGCAATTCTGGGGTGGGGATGCCTTTTAGACTTACCTTCTTGAGACAATTTGAAGGTCCTATGAAAACGGTCAGAAATCTTTACCAATAACATATGTTTCATGGTGCAATATAGGCAGGAATCTGCATTTTCACATCTTCCAGGTGATTCTAAAAGAGATGAACCATGAATGTTTACTTTGAGGTCTCTGAAGATCCCAGACTAAAATAGTGAAGAAAGGTACCTATGGCTTTAAGATCTCATGATCTATCAAGGTAAGTAAAGACAGGAAGATTTCTAATACTGTTAGATAAATGTTGATATTGCCATAAGGTAATGTGGCAAAAGCTATATATAATAGTAGGATTCCTCTTAACTTTGCAAAGTAGCTTTTAAAAAAAGGTTTATTTGCTTATTTAAAAGAGTTATGTGTTGGGAGAAGAAGAAGAAGAGAGAGAGAGAGAGAGAGAGAGAGAGAGAGAGAGAGCGAAACCTCAGCTGTAGGCATCTGCCTAGGTTGCCTTGTGCAATGCTGGGAGAAAAGCATGTGGACCTGGTTAATGCCAAATTTGTGTTAATAATGCCAATGTTCCAGAATAGTTGCTTATTCTATCCTAATTTTGTTTCTTTAAAAGATAAGTAGGGAAGGCTGGGAATGCCAGGGGTGACATGCCACCTTGACCCTCTGAATGGGGGCTGCAGATTGCCTGGGATGTATTGGAGTGGCAGTGGCTTGAGGGTATATTTGATAGGGGAGGAATGGCTTCTGGGGTCTTTCATGGACTGGGTCATTGTAGGCAAGGGAGCTGAGATGTGTGGTCCAGAGGAGAGAAACCAGAGGATATGTCTGGGTTAGGTCAAGTCACCCACCATGTGGGAGACCTGGGCTAAATAGCATCACCTGCTGCCCACTGGCACATGTAAAAGCTGGGGCTGGGGGTGCAAGCCTGCCTGGGTTGGGCTGCAGTACCCATGTGGGCCTTGTCAGACTGTCCTGCAGTACCCACCAGAAGGCAAGAACCAGATCTGGGGGACAGATTATGTAGGGAAATTGTGGGTTGTCTCTGTGGGACCACAATATCTGCCAGTTTGTGCTGAGAGCTTGGAGTGGTGACAAACCAAGCCAGATTGGATGACAGAACTTACTTGACATTTGTGGGAGCTGGAGCAGGGAGGGACTGGGGTAGATCAGATTGCAGCATCTGCTGGTAAATTCTGGTACTGGGTGCAAGTCTTGTCAGGCTTGATTTCAGTACCCCTTAGCCAGCAAAAGATCCAGGGCTGGGAGCAGGCCTGGTGGGGAAACTACAGGCATTCTTGTGTTAGGCCACAGATCCCACTGGTGAACACAAGAGCAGGGCTACTGACAGACCAGGTTAGGCAAGGTTACACAATCTGTTGGCATGTGTGTGGGCTGGGTCTGGGGTGGGTTGGGCTGAGCAAAGCTGAAGCACCCATGGGTATTCACAAGAACCAGATGAGATACAGTACAGACTGGTCTAGGATGCAGCACATGCTGGCACATGCAAAAACTGGGGCTAAGAGTGGGTCTGGTAGGGGTTATTGAAGACCAGGCCTGTGATGGTCTGGGCTAGGCTGGGCTGCAGCACCCATCAGTTCTCATGAAAGATGGGCTTAGGGGTAGAACTGACCAGCTAGCAGCATCTGCCCTTTTGTGCTTTGGCTGGTGCAGGTGACAGACTGCACCTGACCACAC